TTCATATCCTAAGATGAATTTCCGAAACATCCTCGTCAGAGGATACACAGAAACGGGGGCAATTCATAAAACTTGTTTTTAGATGTCAAAATTTTTATAAGTAAACTATTATTTAGATATTTTTAAGCACTTCTAGTATTTTAAGGAAAGAAAAACTCTGAGAATATGACCCAATCATATGTATTAAGGGTTAATTCTTTGCAATAATCAAGTAAAACATCCACAATTTTTTATATCAATCTTTCTGTTCTATTTCTAGAACATTTAGTAATTTTTTTCATTTCCACCTTCGTTGCTCACTCCTCGTTCAGGATACACTTTATTGTTTACGGTAGTTCTACCGATCTTTGAGCGCTCCATTTGCGGGCGCAATTCCCGTCGAAACCGGAGAATAAATCAATCAGACGAAATGTAATACGAGGATGTGCCGGCTTTCTGGTGTGCTTGCTCTCCCTGAAGATTTATTCCTTTCCTTCCGGTGCAATATACATTTCCAGCCGCATCTCGACATCGCGATATTTTTAAGAAAAATGTGAAGTTTCTCTAAAATTATTCATTCTTATTTGTCCACGAATATTCTGTGTTTTACATAGAATAATAGCCGTAATCAACAAAAGCATACTAGTAAAAGCATTTGTTGGAATGATCTTCACGTCCAGAATTACGTTAGGTTCCAGTTTTCGAAGAGTAGAAGATATAGGATGGAATTTCGTTGTAATGCACAGAGAATTTAAATGCTTTAAATTTAATTCAAATGCTTCTTCTTTTCGACGAGAGATCTGTTCTAAATAGTTTATGTCCGCTGAAATTGCGGGGTCGAGATAAGGACGATAGTGTGGTCGACAAGAAGAATGAGATTGCCGGTCTTAACGCATAACGACGTGCTCCGTTACAACATTTTTTAATTTACTTACTTATGGTGATTCAACATTCAGTGGAGCGTAATTTACTTTGACAAGGTACTAATTTCTCGACAATGGGCGACTATAAATTATTGTTTCCCCTTTTATCTAAAATCTACTCCTCTTTGCAACTGACTTGAGAAATATATCGCATAATTCTTGGAGAGTACAGAGGTTAGTCTTCAGTGCACAGAAAGGATAGTTTTGCTGAAGTACCTAAAAATTCAGCTAGATACAGATTTGAAAACAATTTTATTGGATCATCAAAATGATTATGTAGGACACTTAAATTGCTAAAATATCAAAACCTTTTGCAGCTTACTCATCATGCTTTAGATTTCTATGTAATTATTTTGATGATTTAACATAATTATTATTAGATTTGTACCTAGCTAAATTTTAACAAAATTATTCTTTCCGCGTGTATAACTGAAATTAAGATGATAATGTTTTTTATCTCTGTATTACGCTCACATTATGATATTCATAACGTTTATAACATTTGAAATATTAAAACACGCTTTGTTTGTTTTTTCGCACTAAAAGAAAAGTATTTGGTATTTGTAACTACAATTGCATGGTAAAATAATTAGATGCTTCATTTTTATGATTATTTCTGCTATAATATTAGTAATAATAATTACATATATCTTCTCAATCATGAAAACATTTTACTGTAATAATTTCGAACATTAATATAATAAAAATTATTTATATTAAGATATATAAATAATAAATAAAACAAACATATTTATTTAATAAATGCAATCGCAATTATAGTGAGTATAATTATTTTCCTAAATTCACTTGCTGTTTATATGGTAATAATAATCGAAAGAGATATGTTAAAAGAATATTGAAGACTTTCAAGCAGTGTATGTGATTATTATTAATGCAACTCCAAATGACATGGCCAATGTATACCAATTAGCAAATATTATACAAACGCACATGCATGCGTAATTATCACATGAATGAAGACCAATATTTAGCGAATGGAACAATTGACTATGTTTGTATGGTTAAAACAAATGTATAACTACTATTATTAACATCCTGTTTAATAAGCTCACTTTTAACGATTTTTTTATTATTAAAATTTATGTTACAGTTTTCAATAACGAGCAGGTTATTATTTCTTCTGCTTATAAATATATAGTTATCCCAAAAAATAAACGACTAAATTATAGTTACATTATGATAATTGCAACAACTTTTATCTCTCAATGCGAACTTTCTCCCCCCTCCCCTTTTTTTAATTCTTTATAAAGTGCGGATGAAACGAATTATTCTCCAGCGTAAAGCAATATTTAGAGATAGTCAAGCTCTGCGATAAAGGATATAGGGATAACGTGTGCAAGAGCCAACAGGGTCAGCTGTCTCGCTGAAAGATTCACGACTTTCCTTAGGAGCCTTTTCTCGTGTTCTTCTTTAATGTCCTACGTTTTATCGTTCGTACATTGCCTTATAAAATCTCATCGTCTTTCGTTCCTTATCCTTTATGAAAGTGAAACATTTTCCTCTCAAATAATTAATAATCGCGAAACGCGACTCTGTATCGAATCGCAGAGTAATTTTTAGAGTAGAGATAGTAATTTTCAGAAACTCGAACGAACATCGCGTGAGAGTAATTTTGTTTGTGGCTTCTTTATTTCCATCAACATGGAGATCTACGTCTTTCAATACTCGGCATCGCTCGGAATTCCTTTACAGCAAAGTTACGCGGTCTTACGTATCACCGTGAGCAATTTAAAAACTCCAGTTCTTCGTCCATGCCTTTCCCATGCCTTCTTAGAAGTAGAACGTCTTTGAGCCTAGATAATTAACTTTGAAACACAAGTTCCGTAAAAGAACAACGGCGACGTCGGTTTCCAAAAGTTTGAAAAAAAATCTGAGTGTAACGTCTCGTCCGTTTTAATTTCTTTGTTTCCGCAAAAAATTCGCGTATCAATAATATGCCTTTTGAGGCAAACGTTTGGCATTGTTCGTGTTGCCGCGGCCTCAATTGTGGTGCAATTTCTTTGCTTTCAACTAATGGAATTTCGTGGCTGAAACTCTGGGATTTCATATTACTGAAGTATTATATTTGAATAGTGTATTTGCGATGAATCGGGTGGGCCGGCCGACCTTTAATCGTGATTTAACTGCGCTTTTGTGCAACACGTTCGCACGTGGGCGCAACGACGAAAATGTAGAACATGTAGTAGCGAAACCGGGGGTGTACCGATTACATAACGCCCACCTCTCGCTGTTTCACGAAATTTCATGTCAACTTTACTCGAAACTCTTTCACATAATCTCTCTTGCCCAATTTCCCATGCTACTTATGAAAATGTAAATTTTAGCATTTTTATCTGGCGATCTTTTCCCTTGTACTTCTCTCGCTCCCATTTGTTTTATCTTTTTATTTTCTTTCAGATAATTAAATCGATCTATAAGGAGAAAGTAACAAATATTTGAATAATCAAAATTTTTTTTTAAAGACCTCACTAAGAAAACACATTAATATGTGATTGTATATTATAAAAAAATTTCTTTTTAATTGAAATGGACATTAAGAAACATAAAGTACAAGCAAATGTATACCTAAGTCTTTAATAAAAGAATTATAAGTAATCAAAAAAGAATGAGAAAAGCATTGGAAAAATAGGTGGGAAAAATATGCCATGAAAAATTAAAGAGATGCTGGAATTATTTATATTAACGACAAAAGCACTTTTTAATTTTTTTTTTCACTTTACTTGTGAAAATTCTTTCTTAAAATAAAAGAAAATACGCCAAATGTGAAAAGATACAAAACTACATACCAGTATGAAGAACCAAGTGGTATGAAGAACCAAAAAAAGTTGTTGAATTATACATTATATATTGTTTCCTTTTATCACACACACGTAGGTTATTCTTCTTCACATAATATAAGTGATCCAATCAAACTAAAAGAATCTGTCCATACGTAAATAATATATAAGGGTATTATAAGCGCTCAAGTTTATAACTTTGAAGCTTATAAAAGAAAGAAATAGAAAAATATGATTTGAGTGTATTAAACGTACATGTACCTCGTATACGTACGCATAAATTGTATTTTTCTGTTTATTTCTTTTGTATGAGCTTCAGTGCTTATAAACTCAAGATCCTATAATATTCTTATATATTATTCAAATGTGGATAGATACTTTCAGTTTAATTATATATTTAAAATATTATGTATTAAATATTATACATTTAATTCAGTTTGATTTATGTATTTAAAAGGTAACTGAATAAAATAAGATAAATTAAAGATACATTATATGGTCTACTTAAGTTTTGCAATTTTTCCAATTTTTTGCTGTAAAAAATTGAAAAAATTGAGACTGATGATTAGATTTAAAAGAGAAAATTTCTGAACATAAATAAATAGACGTAAAATAGATAATTCCGTTAGAGTTCGACTATTACTTCAGCATCTCCTTAACATTAGTGGTAGCGTGCGATCGCGATTCTGCGGATCTTTTTATTTATTTTCTGAAACAAATGCACGACTGCACCAAAACGTGAATGAATAAGTAATTTCTTCTGTGTGGCCGACTGTACGCCGATTATTTAAGCAACATCGTCCTAATCTTACTTTCTCAGAGTTTATCAAAAATTCATAAGCACGTCGAGCAGAGGTGAAATATGTAAATGCTTTAATATTGCATTCAAAGGACGTGACACTTTCAGTAAATCCAACTGAAGGTAGGGATTGCGATGACAGTTGCAAAGTGACTCACATTGGACAATCAACCATTTTTATCGATTTCCAATTAATTTACTTTATACGCGTCCTTATAATCGGCATAGTTACTGAATCAAACGGTACGCCAACGTGAGTACCGTATATTCCTTAAATATGAAGTGAATTCTATGGTAAATTTTGTAGTTCGATAAAAGCGCTATGACATTTACCTAAAGAGCCACAGCTCTGTTTGAATTCGATTTTCCATCTCGAATATTTCCGTCAGATATCTTATTTTCGTTCCATTTTATCGCATTTCGGTGTCCGATCGGTCTCCGTCGCGACAATATATTCTGCAGTCCGACGCGTTGAAAAACCGAATCTCTCTTCCCTGTCAGGTTTTCACCGGCGCGGCAACGTGTTTCTACGCCTTCATTGGCTTCGACATAATAGCCACCACCGGCGAGGAGGCGACAAATCCGAAGAGGAGTATTCCCCTCGCCATAGTCTCGTCGTTGATCATAATTCTCGTCGCTTACGTCACCAGCAGCATGGTCTTGACACTGATTGGTGAGTAGACCATTAAATAATGGTAATCGATCGTTTGTTGGCCCTCATTAATGGAAATACGCTTTTATTCATCTTTCGCAACAGGCACGGCAGAGCGACGTGCCTGTTCTTTTGATTTTGTCGTTGTGTTTTTGTATCCATTTCTGAAATTTGAACAACTATTGGCACAATGAACGCAGAGCAGCTTTAACAGCTACGTTAATGTAACCAATTCATGATGAAAAGAAAGAGGGACATTTAAAAAAATTCAATATTAATTGTAATTAAATTTTAATAGACAAACATTTTTTTTTATTATAATAATTGTTAATGAAACACATAAACAATATTTTATTATTATATTTATAAATAAATAATAATATGACATTTGATGTATAATATTATTTGTGAGATCACAACAAAAATTATACAGACTTACGAAATCACATTTTTAAAATTCTACTTTTCTACTAAATATATTTTATGAATAATCTAGGTTTTTAAATAAAGAGTCATAAAATTTTCCACACGTTGGTTGAAAATTATATTTTACATTTTATTATTGTTACACTTATTATTTTCAATTATCATTTTTACTTATTATTTTTACACATTTAAAAAAATGGATCAATTTATAATCATATTATATTCTTAATTTGAAACAAAATTTGGAACGCGTTGTAGAAACAAAGAGTTAAAATTTCAGACTATTCCTCTTAATTCATCGATCATTTCAGGCTATATGCCTTTTTGATAATCACTATCGACGAATCGAGAGTTGCTTCCATCTCGTATTGGGATCGATTTTACTACAACTCTGCATTGTGTGACAATGTTTGCCGAAACGATAGAAACTAAAATTATTGCGAAACTTATTCATAAAGCAAATGAGAGTTGTTGAAACTTTGACATTATTGGCTATTGTATGAAATGTATTATTATTACGCTTCATACGAAATTGTTTCTATTGATTGCCGAGGAAACTCGCAGAGTCGAATTTACGGTAGTGTCTTGCGGAAGTACGTTATAGTGTTTCCAACATATATTCGAGTACCTCGTGTTTCAGTTCCATACGATCAGGTTGATCAGGATTCGGCGTTGGTGGAAATGTTCGGCCAAGTCGGAGCCTACAAGTGCAAATACATCGTCGCAGTCGGTGCGCTGGCAGGCCTGACGGTCTCCATGTTCGGCAGTATGTTTCCGATGCCTAGAATAGTCTACGCGATGGCTCAGGATGGCCTTATATTTCGGTAATGATCAAGACACAGGATAACACCGGAAACTGCGATGAGAGGAATTATTAAGAATAATTAACACCGTAGATTTAAATGTAAAGCGCTCGTTTCATTTTCGCAGGAGCCTCAGCCAAGTTTGGCCGGCGACTGGCACTCCCGCAATTGCGACTTTAATTTCCGGCATGTGTGCAGCTATCGCTGCGCTGTTGATCCAGCTGGAAGTATTGGTGGAAATGATGTCGATCGGTAAGACGTTACTTAAAACGACTTCCGATTAATTTAGAATGGAATGAATATATAGCGTTTTTGTTATATTTATTTATTATCGATCCCAGTAGGGAGTTCTGAAAAATCATTAACACAAAATTGTATGGAATAAAATTTGTACAAAAGAACGATTTTGCTGAAAATTTAGCTAGATAGATTTGAAAATAATTTTGTTGAAGCACCAAAATAATTATGTAGAACACTTAAACGTTGATGACAATGCTGCAACAAGTTTTAACATTCTAGCAACCAATTTATTTAATTTAATTTTTCTACATAAATATTTGCTCTAAACAAAATAATTTTTAGATCTCTCTAGTTAAATTTTTAAATATTTCAGCAAAACTGTTTTTTCCGTGTATGATTTGATCTTTTCATTTTCGTTGGTTGAATTCAAATAAGCTTATGTTTCTTGCACATCAGATTTACAATTTATTTTTATAATTATACACTGAGAAAAATGATTTAATTGAATTAAATAGTAATTCTGGTGGAAAATGAATGAATCAAAATTTTCTGTTTCAATCTGTTAGAATTCTATTTGAGATAACTAGAATTCTGATTGATCTAATTATTATGTTAAAAATAAGACTTCTAGTAGATTTTATCAGAAATATTCTATTAATCAAAATTCTGATTGTCTCAACTGGAATTCTAATAAATTTAACCAGAAAATTCTAATCGTCCGTTTTTAACCAGAAATTTTTTTTCGGCATATACTTGGCTAATTATTGTATATTGATCTCATATTCATTTTTGAACAGTTAACTTTTGAATAAATATAAGTTTCTTTAAATTTTTATTATATACTTTTAAATATATTTATATACTTTTCTTTATTTTTGTACGATCTTTTCTTTTTATAGTTTATAATTCAATTTTCAAGTGTTCTGCTATATTGCGTTCGTTGAATGTTAAAACATGAATTGAGTTATAATGAAATAGCAATTAGTACTGGGAAGAACCGCGTTTATGTTCTTGTTCGCGATTTAATTTAGGTACCCTGCTGGCGTACACTCTGGTGTCCACATGCGTGCTGATATTGCGATATCAGCCGCATTCGACGAATTTGATCGAGTTGCTGCCGCAGAGCTTGCGGACGCCTTGTCGATCGCCCACGAAGGAAACGCAGGGGAATGGCCAAGTGACTTACGGCAAGGAGCTTAGGCCTGATCAGCTTACAACCGCATTGAACTCGGTACAGACGTCCCAGTCGGAGCTTACGACCACCAACAACGGGCAGCGTATCACGGTGAGACGTGTTTGCGTTTGCGTTTGAAAAAACAACGAAATCGCATAGTCTACCTCCATCGCCGTGTAATTGAAGAAACTCCTCTCGTTTCAGCGAGAAAACGAGATTTTCTCCCCTCGATTTCTGTTACTTCTTTCCGTTTTTCGTTTTCGTATAGCTCCGTTTCGGCAGTTCTTTGCACGCGCTCGACATTTTCTTGGAATTAGACCATTTCCAGAGTACATTCATCTTAGACGTCGTTCTCAAGGGATTTCTTAAAAGATTTTCTGCCTTCCTTTCCTTCTAAATGTTCTCCCTTATCTTTCAATGGAGTTGAAAAAATTTTTTTGTCGGGCAAGAGCAAGATGTATCTCTCTTTTACCATTAAAATTTTCAAGATAACGGCAATTCGATTCTCTTTCCTTTTTATTGAATTTCTTCTCCATCGACGAACAAAATTGGATGAATCGCGTAGCGGAATGCAGGAATGGATCGAAGCGAGATTGCGCAATTTTGAAATTAGCGTCGCATTGTTCCAGGTGCGGCGGGTGAGGAGGTGCAACAGCTCGTCACCAGATTCGGATGACACATACGGCGGTGAGGAGGACGAGGTGGGATTGGGTAAGGACGATCAGTATCTCGTCAGCGACAGAACGGAGAATAAATTCTACGGTAGCGTGCATGCGGCTGCGGCTGCCTCGAGTTGCGGTAGCGCTCATCAGTATCCCGGAAACACGCCAATCATAGGGCCACCGTTGAATTATCTACAGCGTCGATTGCAGGTAGAGATCAGTAATCGAAAAACGATAGCTTGGTGAAATAATTAAGTTCACCATCTTAATTGTATGACATTCGAAAATAATGAACTTCTATCCGATTGTTATTATATTTACCTTGTACAAGTATCTTATTCTGTATTAGAATTCTACATAATATTCTGCACATAGATATAAAGTGTTATAATAAATAATACGATAATAAAATAGTAATAATAATGATAAAATTTATGTCAAATGATATCTAATTTCTTAGAGTAAAATCTTACTTGAAAAAAAATACTGTTAATATTGAACAAAAGTGAAAAATTTGTGTTCTTGAATAAGAGTGGCAAATTTTTTTTTTTTTGTAAGATTTCACACTTTTGAGTGAAATTCACTTCAAAAAAGGAATGAGATTTTCTTTCTTCGAATGAATTTTTCTCTAAAAAAAGAGTAAAAATCCGCCATCCTTATCCAAAAATGCAAATTTTTCACTCTTTTTCAATAGTGACAATATTTTAACACTTTTGGAGTGAAATTTCACTCCAAGAAATTTAGAGAATAGCTACTATCCAATATGTCGTTAATTTGATTAAAACAATAGAGAGTTGACAATTTAGTTTAACTCAAGAAGATGTATTCTTGACTCAAATTTCGTTTATTATTTATTAAATGCATATTAATATAGACGATGTTTACTTTGAAACTACAGAAATGAATTAATTTACATTTTGATATATGGAAGTTAATAATAACAAAATTATTTAACTCAAAGGATGAGATTACCGTTGTTCCTTTGATATTTAAGTGTACGTTTACTTCATCAGGTTCCATTCACATAAAACATTTCCGACACTGCGATTATTATGATGCTAATGAATGGTGACATTTCGTAGGCGGCGCAGTACCTTTGTCCTGCTATATTCCCGTGGGTGGACAGAGGTCCTGCGACAGAGGCGTCAGGACGTTACGTTATGAAGCTCGTTGGGATCTTATACGTCTTGATCCTTATTTTTGACTTGATTATCGTCTGTGGGATGGGTGAGAACTTTATACCATTTTTAATATATTAATAAATATTTGTAAAATTAATCAAATGTTCCGTAAAATATTTTGACGTAAAAGGAGAGGAAAAAGATGTGCACATGTAATAAATGTTTAGCTAATGTCGTATAACATTAGAAGGATATATTTCTAAAACATAATACATATCTAAATAATTCTACAAAATTGTTTTAATTATTTGTGTGGATTAATTTCACGAATCGCTGTAAATATATCTATTGAGAATTGATATATTTCAGCTCTTTTTTCTTTCAGGTAACATGGGAACATTTACAACGATATTACTATTCTTATTTCTCTTTGCCATAATTGGTATACTTCTTGTCATCAGTAGAAAGCCGCAAAATAGGTAGGTTATTTGTAAATCGCAATCCCATAAATCTGCCAACTGAAGCGTGCCTAATCGTGAAATGGTTTAATAATCTAACAATAAGTGCTAATTCCCTGTATTTCTCTTTTTGTTGTCAGGAGCAGCGTAATGTTCATGACTCCAGGCTTACCCTTCGTTCCCGCGATCGCCGTTACCGTTAACATTTATCTCATCTTCAAGCTCAGCATCCTCACCTTGGTCAGATTCACAGTCTGGATGACTCTCGGTACAAATTTATATTTCTAAAATTTTGTACATAAACTATGTGAACGGAGATTATACCTATTTTCATCCGATTCTATTTGATTTTTAAGTGAAACGATAACTCTTTAACTTTTCTAATTCCTTCCTGCGAATCTCACGATCAATCGAAACACTGCTTCTTGTATCTGCCATCAGGTTTCATCATGTACTTCCAGTACGGTATCAAGAACAGTAGTCTGGAGGAGGCGAACGCGTCGGAGAATGTTGACGACGTCGTCGTCGGCGGTACGGCCGGCAACATCGAGTTGACCGTGACCGAGCACCATCAGCGGCAACAGCAGAAGCAGTATTCGCCAGACCACAGCATTTACGAGAGCCAACAGCTGGACGCGTTTGGCCAGCCGGTGTTTGGCAGCACGAATTTCGGCGGCACGCCGAACCAGCAGCAGCATATCGGCATTGGCGGCCATCAACAGAGGCAAACGGGGGCGGTGGGAAGTGGCCGCCGCATCGACCAAACCGCGTCAACGACGACGGGCAAGAACCTGTTCATCGATCAGGATAGCTTCCCCACCTGGGACGATTGAGGAGCACCGCGCGCGGTACCGAGAACGGATATTAATGTATACTTAACACACGAATAGAAATGGGAAGAGAGATATTATTACTACTACATACATCTGGTAACACGTTTGCGCGCGCGCGTGCGACTAGTATCGGGCGATTACCGGTGAAATTAGACTCCTCGGAGATTGCGGCAGTTTTGAGCTCAAACTTGGAGGGTTGCACGAAGTGCAGCCTTCTTTCAACACGTAATGAGCTGTTAATAATTATCAAGAGTTCAATGTGCTTATAAAGATTTTAAGAAGTATTTAATAGATTTTTCGAGTTTATCCAAAATTAAATTCGTAAAAAGAGAGACAAAAAATAAGTTAAGATTGAAGTTAATTTTTTAGACTTTTTTTTAGACTTCCTTATAATTTTGTTTCAAAATTTGTATCGGAATTAATATTCTTTTGTAATTGCACACATTGACACCCCCTTTTTTTTTTAGGTGAGTTTTTATTCTTTTACCTTTCTAAGTTTCAATTTTACAAAAAAATTTTACACGCGAACGCGCTGGGACAGTTATAAGGTGTCTATAAGAAATAAGTTGGTCTCCTTAAAAATTGATGCTCGAAAGTTACATATTTCCATACAAAGTACACACGATGGAGATCGTCGAAAAGAAAATCTGGTCGGTGTGATGTAAACGAGGAGACCAAAAACCGCGATACTCCGAGAGTCAGACTTGTTGACTATTTGGGACGAATGTAGCAAATAATATTGCGGCAATATTTATTATTCTAGTTGTATAGTACCGTCGTTGACGAGATCGCAGGCGAAGAAGGCGGTTGGGGATAGAAACGGGTCGAGAGAGCATTAGCTGTGGCGAGGATAGAAAGAAAGAGGGGAATGCAGAAAGAAAGCTGAAGAGACCATTACCATTATTAGTATAAGGCGAAACTTGTGTTTTCCAAGAGAGCGTTCTAACGGCTAATATAAGTTCAAAAATTTATTGCTAGTCCGCGAATGGGAAACGAATGCGAGATGAGAATGAGGTGTGTCGTCGGAGCAGGATGAATGAAAAATACGAGTGAGAATGAGAAAGAAAGAGAGAAAAGCGAGAAAAGCGAGATAAAGTAAGAGAAAGAGCGAAGCGTGCCTGAAAGAATAATGAATAAGAAAAGAGTATGAGAGAGAGAGAGAGAGAGAGAGAGAGAGAGAGAGAGAATCCATAGAAAAGAACTTTAATGAAGAAAAAAGAAAAAAACAAAAATGTCATCTTTTGCCTAACTTTAGTCTTTCCCAAAAAGAAGAAAAAAAAGAAGTCTAGTCTAACATATTATAATCGTATATCTAAGCTTACTACAATACTTACATACGTCTTACCTCGAGTAAACCCTTTGATTATTAATTTACACGCAATTTGTATAAATTATCTAGGATTTAAGCGCGCGTCGCCTCCCAACGACGTGGAACGAAGGATCGAGAGTGAATACAATTGTACAATTAATTAAGCTGCAGGACAATTATATCAAAAAGAAATAGGACGAGGATTTACTTTTCAAAATCGTGAAAAAGTTTTAATCTTGTCCCCAATCAATTGGCATTTACTTTTTCAACATCGTGTTTATTTCAAGGAAAGACTTTTTTTCATCAGAAAATTAAGTTTTTGTTCAGAATCAAGACACGTATTTCGGATAAAATTTTGAAGAGAACTGGAGGAAAAGCAGAGATTTAGAGACGATTTAGTTTCGAAGAAACGAGTTCTCCTCTCGATCGACTTTACAATTCCAATTTCTTGCGGGACTTCGGAGATAGACGGGAGACGACGCGCAAGGTAAGATTTCGTTTTTGTGTACATATCTTCGGTGTTTCGAGACATACCGTTTCTCCGTACGTACGTGCACAAGTCCGTTGTGCTTCTCTGTCCGCTAGTGTGTTCCGCGCGATGAATCGAGGATAGCCTTCGATACTCCCGAGTAATTACGGTCGGGAGGATGCGCGACCATGTGTCTCCGATACGAGCGAATGCATGCGTGATTATGTATTCACACCACGAGTGGAGCTCCAATTTGCCCAGGTCATGATATAATTTAAGACAACCAAGGATACGTGCTGTAGACCGTAATGATTGTTATTTTAAAATCTCTGAACTATTTTTTCCTTTTAATACCTATCTACCCACATCTTATCTGCGTTATTAATTTCGAAAGATCGATCGTCGCAAAGTAATCCGCGAAATATTCTGAAGTACCAAGGAGGCGTGACACGCGACTGCGATAAAACGCGGAAAGCCATAACGCGGAATGCTTATCGATTGTACATTGCGGAACAATCAAGTATAAAAGCCGCCGGTTTATTGCGCGATTTGAGTCACGCAGCAGACGCTTTTATTACACCAATAACTTTTATTACTTCATGATCTGTTCGCTTCTTTGCGAGTATGTGCCTGAAGCAGGAGTATGTATCCTTGCGTTGCATTGTTGATCGCCATGCTATCGTTTCGCTTATAACGAAGACACGCGTCGTGCATACTATTCGACATTCGATCGTGCATCTTCCAGGCGAGCGTCGATGCGTCGCGACGCATCGTCGCTCGAACGTTGGGCAAGGTCGTTGGCAGGTACGACGACCGCCCTCCGCGATCGCTTTCGCGAAATATTTCTTCTCGTGTCTATACTTACTTTCGTCCAGCTGCTCCGCCACTTTTACTACTTCGTTATAGGACGCATCGTCCGCATTTCCATGTGCGGAAATCGTCCCGCGGCTCTCGAGTCGCTCAACATTCCGCGTCCCTTTCCCACGTGAATGACGAATTCGATAATGAAGCGACAGGGAGGATTCAGGGTGTCGACGATCGATAAATTACAAACAAATTTTTAACAAAATTATTTCACAGCATTATAATTAGATTACAAATTAGATAATTACATTACGATCATCGAGCAGCAAAATTTTGTTCGGAGAGAGAAGCAGGGCCATAAAACTGGAAATTGTCAGAGAAATTGAAAAAAGTTAAAGAAATCAAGGAAAAGTCAAGGAATTTTGCAAAATTTTTTGAAAAATTAAAATGTTTAGCTTTAAAGAAGTTTAATATATGTACATCTCATCTAGACACTTTTGGAATACTACTAACATTAATGGTAATGTATATTACTATGGTAAATTCATCTCTCAACCAAATATTTATCGATTTTTAAATGAAAATGAAGATACAAAAAATTTTAAAATATTAAGTCAGGGAAAATTATGGAATTTTGTTTGGAAATCAGGAAAAAGTTACGAAATTTAATTTTCACGATGAAAAATTTGTGACGATTCTGAGAAGAAAAAAGCAAACTGAAGAAATAAAAAAATTTTTTATCACTTACGTGAAACGATATCTCTTTATTACATAAATTTATCTAATTTTTATTACATAAATTCGCGTCTTGTAATTTATACATATGTCTCATTTATTTTTATTGCGAAGGGCGATCGTTTACTCTGATTCCTCTTTAGTTCATCACGCACAGGTCTCTCAGCGGAACTGATGGAATCCTGATTAATCTCGCGAGGAAAGAGGAAAAAAAATATATATATATATACATACATATATCTATATATAAAAAAAAATATATATATATACATATACACGTATATTCTCTGTGATCGAAACACTGTACATCTCTAACGACGACGATAAACGTCGATCGTTTCGCGTTTCAAACGTAAAATTGATTCGAGGATCGAAAGGAGAGATACTCGACACGCTACAGGGGCAGGTCGAGAGCTTAGTTCTCGCTTTTTATTCTCTACATATCGATCGGAGTGATCCTTTCACACATATCAGTCCTGCACACATTCGCGAAATCGTTGCGTGATCGCAAAGTTAGCCTACGCCGCCGCGTACGTCGACGACGCAGAATACGTGTAGCACTTTGTTATACATAGAATACTTTATACACGAAACTGTTCGATTTTTTAGGTGATACATATCAGGGTGGTCATAAATTCGCTACGCGATCACGATAATTAATATTAGTTTGCAGTTCATTGTCTGAAATGAAAAAAAAATTGTACTTTAGCTTTTCATCTGAATTCGACACACTTCTAAATTCTGAACTTAAATTAAACTCTTTAGTGAAATTTTGACCTAATTAAATGGAGTTTTAACGCGCGCGTAAGTTAAATATTAAAATATGTAATACTTAAGAATTTTGCGCAAAAGTTGCGTCTAAAATTAAAATTACAGTTGCATTAAGAGAAAACTGAATGGCCATATATACTGGCTCGAGTTTACTAAACGGAGCGCAAATTTTGCATTTGCAGCGTATCCGTTCCTTTTCTTTTCATCTTGATCCTCTACCCCTGTAATAATGTCGCGGATATCTTAGGGAACTGCTTAATTGCACTGAGCTTACGTCACCGTGAAATGTCCTGCGAAAACTTGGATCATAAATCTTATATAATTTATAATTCATTCAATATATTTATTCATGACACTTTCCTCTGAAACGAAGCGCAAACTTTGGCCGTTATGTATATACTTTGTATACGTATAATGGATTGAAAGATATTGCTGAGCAACTTCGAGAACATTTATCCATTATGTCGAAAGAGATGTGTTTCTGAAATAAAATGAGTGATTAAGAGGCGAAATCGCACGCCTTCTCTCGGTGACGTGACTCGTATTGCGATCTGCGAGCAAAATTATGGTACTCTGGATATCCGTTCTGTCAATCGTAGTATCGCGTTATCGCGATTCTCGACGGATAGGAGTTTACTCTGTGAAAGAACAGTGCCTGTATACATCTCTCCAGACGTTAGACGAGACGTTAGAGATCCCTTCCTTAAAAACGGACAAAAATACATGGCGGTTGAAAGAGTGAAGCTAACGAAGGAGTTATGTCGAATTTTCACATTTATTCTTTAATTTAATTTCTTTAATTATTATTTAATTTATTAATTAATTTAATTTAATTATACTGAAACTCTTATTAAAAGTTTATAGCTCACGATTTGCAATAATTACATTCCGAGAACTGTAAATGAAAAATATGTTTGTTTTTATTGCAGTGAATAAATTGGGAAGTAGCTACATATAAAGTAATTATCTCTTCGCAAATCTCTTCTATCGAACTTTAAAGTCGGTAACATTAAAATTTTGCGTTATACGACATAGCTTCCTCGTATTCTTCAGCCTGTCAAATCAAGTATGCTACTTATACGAATAATATTGTTAGCAAGCAGATCCATTGAGATCCACGTCTCGATGTATTTCAGAAGAATAGGACTACATGCGAGACAAATAGCAGAACGACAAGGAGGACGTGGCGTTTTACTCTTTGCCCTTTTAGTTAGTCTTTCGTATTCTTAGATAGGAGGAAATGGCCTATTGCACAATGTGGCGGGACGACGTCGGTCGAGGTACAAACCGCAAAGTACAATTTAAGTCAGAGAGACTCCAGTAACAAAATTCTGTCTCTTAAAGATGAAAGAGTTGAAGCAACCTGCACAGTTTGAGAAATATTCGCAAAGATATTCGCAAGATGTCCAGGGAATATCTATTGTTTTTTTTTTCATAAGACGTTTAATTTGACGAGGTTTTGCATCGAGATCGGCGGATCCCGCGCAGATGTCACGTGTGTACCTTGAAGTCGCAGTAAACTCTGCTGCGAATACCTTGAGAGTTTCGACGGCTGTAAGTTGAAAGTATTAGCTCCCGCGAGGAGAACCGACGCAGAGAAATATCGCACTTTCAGTCGAGGAAAGTGACAACTGCGAAAGCGCTGCGAAATCGCCATTTGTGTGTTTTTTTTTTTTTTTTTAAAGAGGAGACAAATATCTCCAGGGTTGTGTTCAGATTCCCACCTGAGTACCACTCAGGTGTCATCTTATCCTTGTTCAATAGAATAAACAAGGATAACATATCTGAGGAGTACTCGTATGGGATTCTGAATGCACCAATGTGTGGTACGAAATGTGAAAACAACGTAAACGGTGGCACTATCGTTGTGCATATACTTGGCAATAACAAACAATTTAAGGTAATTATTTCCTTCCCTTTTTAAACGATTTGCGAAAAATCGACTTGTGATACTCATGATAATTCTTCTCCTTCTTTTCCGTTGGAAGTGCGATATATGTAACGATAGGATAAGCAATTGCTGAAGAGCAATTCGTCTTTGGATCAACTGCGAGCGTATACTCGTATAAATGTACGAATGTAGAGCTAACGAAGATGTACGTTTCCCCATAAAAGTGAAGCATTAAGAATGACAGGAATGTAAGAGTCTTATCTTATAACAAAATTAATTTAATAGAATACAATAGAATATTACAATTCTACGTGTGTCGAGCATACGGCATTGCAACGAGTGAATTGGTGCAGAAAAAAAGTCATTTATTTTCTATTTTCTCTTCACTAAAACCCCTCTCTGCGAACAGATGAAAATACAGGAAGAGCGTATCATGTTCTCGTCATTCTAAAAGTATGCAACTATCTCGTACGTGTGCAGCGATATGTGACGGTGTCGGAATTTGAGGCTGCATCTGCGTGACGCGTTGCGCATTGTTGATATCTTCGACATGAATATACGGCGAACATTGCGAAAAGCGAACGATATTAATATTAAATTAACTGGTAGTGGTTTCAATCTCCTACGTAAGCAATTTCGCGAGACGGCGTGTAACACGCGCTTCGCGCAATTTAACGTCGCCTTTAATCATCGCGACTCAATATCGGATTTACAAGAGCGCATCGTTCCTGCGTCACTTCGGGCGGATTGATCTGCACTCGCGCGGAAGGACGTGCGAACGACTCGAGAAGATGTGAGATTATGAGTCTCCGGGGAAGAATGTCGCACCGGCGATTAAGGTGCGTTGTCCAAAAAATGGTAATGCAAAAGCGTCCTTCAACGTCGGAAATTCCACGAGATTTCACGCCATTTTTCTCGTTTGCCGGGAAAGAACCAGACATAAAAAAAAGAATATTTCTTGTTCTTAATAGAAGCTGAAAGAAAGAGGAAAACGAGAGAGAGAGAGAGAGAGAGAGAGAGGGGGGGGGGGAACAAAGGTAAAAGGACGAGTGTGAGAAAGAAAGAAAGAAAGAAAGAGAGAGAGGGAGAGAAAGAATGAGAGTGAATGCCATATGCGTGACGATATACTTTTTTTCTCTCGGGACAGTCGGGTGGTGGGCACTCGAGGTATCTCGGGAAGATATATGCGCACGAGAAGGACAGAATTTTCCATGTAATATATATACCCTTACGTAACTATATACGTTGTTTAATATTGATAAGGATCAAAAATAAAATGATTATTCAAAAGCTAAAGCAGTAGGGTACGATGTCATTCATTATTTCCCAAATCGTGTATAAAATATCACGATTTGACGATTCTCGTCGTCATCAATATGAATCATTATCTATCTGAATCGAGCAGACTCGCAAAATCTCGTTCTTTTGTTATTTCTTCCCTTAGATTTTTTTCATATAAATTTATCGCGCAATATATTATTTAAATGTTTCCATGTGTTTCCTTTGCCGTATGTGATAGTAAATATCTAACTGCAGCATTAATGAATATAAAATTAGAAATAAAAAGAAAATAAAGGCTAACGTAGAATAAACGCAAGATGTAGGCATGATAAAAACAAATACTTCGATCAACAACAGAAGGCAAATATAGTCTCAATATATATATATTAAATTAAAAAAAACAAACTATTTTTAATCGTGGCACTTGCATAGAAAATTGTGAAAGAATTATTATACAACGTTTCGAAAGGGAAGGTCGATCTAATATATACTTGATATAATCTATATAAAATATATGAACTGAGATTAAGTTTATATTTAATATAATGCAATTTGCTTTGACAATACATTGTCTATTCCAATATTTGGTTTAATCCACTAAATCAACGTAAGTAAAAAAAAAACAATATAGAAGCGAAGTAGTAACGTCTGCTCGTTGTCAGACAAGCCAGTAGTTACCAACTGTTATTTGACAGACGACGTTTCTAAAGCTCATTTAAGATTTAATATATCATGTAATGAATTTACATGTTTATTATTTGAGTCAGATTTTTATTCTAAAATCTAACCAGAATTATAGACATTATTTAAATTTATTATTAGTTGTAGATTTTTATTTTCTAAAATATGACGCGGTTTATTTACAGCTTTTTGCATTTTATTTTATTTTATACTTTTTTATAACCTTTTGTATTGTGCATTTTAACTATATAGCATATTTTAATATTTTATTTTCGCATGTACTTTCTTTATTTTTGTTTTTTTTTTATTGAAGAATACATAAAATTAGAACAAATTATGATTTTGTTATATTTTTAAATTATAATTATAAACTGTCCAAAATAGGCGTAACACTGAAATCATTTCACAATAGAATATCAATCTTTACTTTTTACCGATTAATTGATTTTACTAAAAAATCATTCTTTTAATCCTGACTCATCCAATTTTAATGCATGTCACATGTTGCAATATGCGGAATTATCGCACAATGACACGCAAAGTATTCGGGGAATTGCTAACAGTATTTTGACGTGATGTAATCAGACGTTGGCCGCGCGTGTTGCACGAGGTAAAAGACCACTAGTCGTCTACCTTCCACATTTGAGGTGACTTGTTGTCGGTACGAGGAAAATGTCAAGGCTCCATTCTCGGAGCGAGATTATGCTCGTCTTCTGAAGTACGCAAATATTCGTATTTTTTTTTGTCTCTTTTTATAGCTCCAAGCAGGAAACAAAAGAGAAATTAAAAGACCGTTTAAAATTTCATTATGTTCTTTCACAGAAAATATGTAATTTTGTTTAATTTTTTAAAAATAAAAATGTACATAAAGAAAAATAAGACGTATACCAAAAATATATTTTTGATAATTATAATTAATAATAACAATAAATCAATGTAATATCAGAATTCGATTTTGCAAACTTTTGCGCAAAACTATAATTTAGATCACAACAAAAAGTATTACGAATCACATATTCATGTTGTGATCTCATTGAAATATAATATAACATACTCACAATAATTCTTTATGTAAATTGCACCAATTTGTGCAATTATTGCTACATGAAATTATTGCTTATGAATTATGCAAAAAAGTATGCGCATGAATGAGCGTCTAAATGCGACGCGCGTTGCTCTTTATTGGATATAAGAGACTCAACTTCTCGACTGCGCCATTCTCATTTCGAGGAGACAGACTGGTTGCAGATGACATTTATCTCTCGTTATTCTGACATTCAAATCCAAGCTGGCGCATCTCTAATTTCAAGATATTGTTAAAGAATACAATATCGGTTATTAAAGTTTTAAACAGAAAGTTGACAGTATTTAGAAAACAATTATTATAGGTATCTCTACGTCGATCCTTTCCCAAGAAATAAATTCTAATTTACAATATATATTTAAATTAAAATATTAATTTATTGTCAGAATTTATAATTTTGACTCAAGTCACAGGTACGGCGCGATTAATTTTAAACGACGGAATCACGTAATGATGAGTTGCATCGCGATCGTTTTCTAATTCGATGTTATATGTCAAGTTGAAACAGACGACGCAGGATGAATGAATCGCTCGAAACAAAGCGATGTGTTGGCTTTCCGGTTACGACGGTCACGATCCTTTTACTTTGAGAAGAAGACGCGACGGGATGATTTCCACCGGCGAATGAAGACGCAGTTATCTTCTCCCGCTCTCATCCTCGCACGAAGATGATAAAAGCACGCCGGGCGGCTGCAGCGCGTCGTAGTCTTCCTTTCGGGATTGGGACAGAAGGAACGTGGATTTCACCGACGACGATGGCCTCGAGACCAATCGTCCATCTGCTAATCGCCTGCGGAATTCTCGCTGCGACAATGTGTGAGTAAGAGTTTACCCTGCGGTGCTCTTTCGCATGTTCGAGAAAGTGAAATAGTCCGTTCGCCGATCGCAAAGAGCGGGCAAGGATTATCGTTATTGCCGTGCCACTTTGATTCTAAAAACGCAGTGATGTGATTTTTCTGACGGCACAAGTGTGACGTTTTCTCTCAGATATATTCTCTGTGCGTAAAATAAAAACAAGTCCTCTCTCGATATAATTCTTCTATATTCGTCACGAATTTTTGAGTATCACTAATTCTTCTATCTTTCCTTCTTCTTGTTGTTAGCAGATGATCATTCGTTTAACAAATATTTAACTGTGATATTATTTCAAGCAATTTAAGCAATTTGGACAAATGATGGCAGAAGAAAGTAAAAATAATTACAAAACTGAAAGGCACACGTTAAATTTTGTACCAAATTATAATTAATAATGCAAACTTCTTTCTAATATTTAAATATTCAACTTTTAATGATTGGTTCATTATTATATTTATTGGTTAAATTTCTCGTACATACTTTAACGGAAATTAAATTGCCTGTACGAAATGAGTATTATATATAGTTTCCAAGCTATGTTATGTAACATGTAATATTACGCAAGTAAAATTATTACACGATACGTAATTCAAAGAGCTTAATAAGATTGGCTAAACTCCAAGGCGCTTAGGAAATTTGTGTATATCCAATTTTATAAATGCAACGCGGCCTGAATAGCAGTTTACTGTCATATATTACTATACGTATGCTCAGTCACGAGCGTATAGGTAATTTGTATGCGATGCGTTAGTACATTGACAGAGAAATGAATTTGTAAGCTTAAAACTTAGATAGCATGAATATTAATTCTCCACCGTGTCATTAGATTTATAACGGCTATTATATTAATAAGATCTTGATACGATCATGTTATAAGTTGAAAAAAATGAATATTTCGTTTTTATCGCGAGAATAGTTCGATTAATGCATAATGCATATTTTAGTGCCTTTTAACTGGAGAAACTCTTTCGACCTTCGGACAAGAAGGACTCGATAGGTGGGATTAACGCTCGTCCTCGTCGGCCTAACGACAGATAATCGAGTTTGTAATCAGCGAAACTTTCTCTCTTGTTGTTTGCACTCATTACCTTACGCAATTTCTGCCCCGCGGAAATGTCTCGGAAAACATCTCTGGGAATAGCCGTTGATTTTCGTGCGCAGAAGCATCGTTATATAGAAAGAACGAGTTTGCTGAAGAATCTAAAAATTTAGCTAGATACAGATCTAAAAATAATTTTTGTTGGACCATCAAAATAATTACGTAGAAATCGTTGATAAACAAAAAAATTTCTGTAAAAAATTTTTACATTCTAATAATCAAAGCGTCCTACGTGATTATTCTGATGATCTAATTAAATTATTTTTAAATCTATGTACTTTGAGAAAAACATTTTGTATGAGATTTAAAAATTTGAATTTGCTAGAAGCAAATTTTGACTAGAATAACAAAATTTTGAAATTAAAGGAAGTAAGAAAGTTTTGTAAGTCACATATTATACTCAACATTTATCTCATTTTATCTGGCTAAATTTTTGGATACTTCAGCAAAACTATTCCTATTCACGTATCATTTCTCAACTTTTCGTAACGTCCTGGAATTTAATTATTAATATTGAATCGGCTTTTTTGAATCTCAGCCAAATATTTTTATTTTATTAATGTTTAGAAAGGATGTAGTATTGAGAAAAATTCTTTGATTTATGTCTATGGCCCAGTTCTACAACTCACGGCTAACTCTTAAGCGACATTAAATTTATTCCTTATATCTTTTCAATTCAAGAATTAGAGAGAAATAAGTTGAACTTTGGTTAAGAATGAACTGCGAGTTGTGAAACTGAGGCTTAGAACTAGAAAAAGATACAAAATTAAACCGAGATTAAATTAAATTAATGTACATTCATAGAAATGGACATTAGTCTTGTTTGTAGCGCGATTATTTATTCTTTGGAAATTCTTGTTGATTTTATTTTATCTATTAAAAAACGTCCTCGGACCAGTCGGGTCCAATTCAATATTGTTTGGAAATGGCGGTTACAAATGCGTTACGCAAGTGATGCGCATGTAACATGAATATATGCAGTATCTTCGTAGAGGTCGAACATCGGCAACCGTCGAACTTTCGCCGCGTGATAATCACATACACTGCATTAACATTACTTATTAATACTTTCTGAACGGACTCGTTTGACGAGTTTTATACGCAATATTAAATTAAATCGGTGTTTCAGAATCATTTATTCCGCGAATTTGGTGTAGCCAGATTTATAAAACAGAGAACTTTTCTCTCTATAACTAACCATTAATTAAGCTCGATACATACAAACGTAATTAAAGCAAATAATGATCAATAAAATAAATTAATTAAGAAGGATAAGAAGTTAAAACAATACACATTTATTATCATGTCATGAGTAATAATAAATTGATTATATATTAATAAAACGTTTATATTATATTAATAGTGATATATTAATATAATATGAATGTTTTAATTATACTAAGTCTCCCTCAGCATGAAAATTTAAAAAGGATAAGAACATCAAAATAAAATTATAAATTAAATTGAAATATAAAACATTAAAACTAATGTGTGACACAACATTTCTCTTATTACTAACATTAACTCTTATTTTTTGCCTACAATCGTTTGATTTGAAAATATCTTTATTATGTTTATTAGAATAACTAACAATCTAAAGTATTTTATAACAGTTTAACTTCATTCTCATTATAGTTTAATTTATATTTATTATAGTTTAATTTTTATATTTATTA